ATCAAGGAAGCACGCATACACAGGCGTACTTCTGTCCGTGTAATACCGAACAGTATGCTTAACACAAAACACAGCGGACTCTGTAGAAAGTCCAGGCCTGAACCCGAACTGCTCATCATGAATTTTCAGGTGTTTAGTTAAAATGCGATCAAGCAAACCGCCCAGTACCTTTGCCATGATAGTGTTATTACGTTATTATTATTTATTATTATTGATATTAGTTATGTAGTTATTACGCTATGTTACGGCAGTGAATCGTACATGTTCGCTAAAGCAAGAGTACTGCCACGTCTGTGCTGTTCAGAGCTGGTAAATCGTTCTTTTGAGATGACTGCGTTGTTTCGGCAACAGCATCTTAAAGGCGATTTATGACGTTTTTAATACTGCCATTCCATTTACCGCCATATTTACAAGAAATAAGAGGATGCCATATTCAAGTTGTATTGTATTTTAGCCTTTTTCATTTTAGCATTATTATTGCACAGGGTGCACGAAAAGAACCTCTGGCACGACGTACTTACGCTTCCTTTCCTATTCGTGGGGCGCTGTGGGCAACAATTGGCATTTTACGCCAATTGGCAAATCCTTTCACCACGATGGCAAGCATTTTAGTGTATGCTATCAATACGATAAGATGTAAAATGGGATTTTTGCGTGACATAAACTATTATTATTATTATGAGCACAGAGATACCCCTTACCATCAGAAAATTATAAAAAGAAACGCACTGTTAGGAATGTTTGCTCACCAATAAAATGTCGAACAACCGCTGCTACGCAACAATGTAGATATATGTCCACGTGTTTATATTATAAAATAAATTCAATTCTTAATATTTACCCATTATCTACACATGAGACGAAATAATAAACTAACACATTTCCCTCTGGCTCTTGATTATGATTAAACTGAATTGCTTCTTCGGTAAAAATAAATACTTATAATACGTAATAATATATATAGCTCCTCTCACACATCAGCGTATCAAAGAGGCTAAACTAAACTAAACTTCTAAGAGGCTAAACAATTGAAATACCGTACCCAGTATGTCCCCTAAAAGCGACGAATTAGATATGCCTTTCCATCTACCGTATAAGTTTAAGCCATTAAACACCCATATTTAGTACGTCCACTAGGGGACGAATTAGCTACGGCTTTTCGTAAGAAACGCTCGTAAGAAAGCATCTTTGATTCGTTACGTCTCGAGTAATTACTTAAACAAAATATCTGCTATAATATACAATTTATGTATTTATTAAAGTTAAAAGGAATACAATTACAAAATTAATCGTTATCAATACTTATACAGGGTGTAAATTTGAGACGGGGCAGCAAGGCCAGCTACAGTAAGCAAGATAAAAGTCAATTTTAACAAAACCTTTTTTTATGCCATTCGATTTGGTCACTGGTAAGGATCGATAGTCTCTATGGGACCAACTGAGGTAAGAGTACTCTAAATGTCAGAAATCGCAAAAAACTTTTTACCATACATTTTGTACATTTAGTAATCAGTTATTCTGGAAACTAACAATAAGGAAACTAACAAATTGACAACATATTATGTATTTTAAAATAAAAACAATAACGAAAAGTAAAATAACATAAAAAGTCTATGATAGTAAGTGCCCGAATTGATTGCCTTGGCGGATGCATCGGTTCGCTTTCTTCCGCAAAGAGCAAGTAACGGCTGAAATTCTACTCAGATGGATTCTATTGAAAATTGCTGCAAGTGCGTTTCTCAATTATTGAACACTGTTGTATTTTTTTATAAATTTACTTTTTTACATATCCCCAAAGAAAAAATCAAGGGGCGTCAGATCAGGACTGCGCGGTGGCCATTTGATAGGTCCATGTGTTCCAATTAATTTGTTTCCACACTTGAGAACATTTTGATTAAACATCGTCTTAAAAGTGACAATTCTCTATTAACAAAACAAAACAAAGCTGTTCCAAATTAAAAAAATAGTGATATGATTATAATTTGGTTTTACTTAAGTCTTATTTGTAGAATAGTGACCAGTTTCGTTTCTAACAAAAAAATTTCATTTAAAATGTGTGGTAAAAGATTTTTTGCGATTTCTGCCATTTCGAGTACTCTTACCACAGTTGGACCCGTAGAGACTATTGATCCTTACCAGAGACCGGATCAAATGGCATAAAAAAAGTTTTGTAAAAGTTGCCTTTTGTCTTGCTGACTGTACCATTTTTTCAAAATCTGTGAATGCCAATCAAAATATCTTCAAAATTCATAGATAGTCTTCTAGGACCGTTTTCCTGTAATTACAACGATTAGGGTAGCTGGCCCTGCTGCCCCGTCTCAAATTTACACCCTGTATATTTAAGCAGTGTTTATCAAATACAAGATAAATTTATTAGGAAAGAAACAAGTCTGAAAGAATTTTTTGAAGATAAAAATTAAATGTTATCCATTAAATGTTATCTATTACAAAATATACTATAGAAATTAAGTAAGTGATGATAAGTGTCTACTTATACACTTTGAAATTCTCGTCATTCGTTCCTTCATACTTCAATAATTGAAAATCAGTCACAAATTTACTAACTAGACCTGTAAATCGTGCTTCATCCATTTTAAATAATCTTAACTCAAACACAAACGATATTAATTAGAAATTATGCCGCGAATTACGTAAAAATACATGCAAAATCGAAATGAACTGTGACACTGCCCTCGCGCGAAATCAGTTGCTATTGATATTATTATTTGTGGCCTATTTAGAAACATACCAATATCACCAAAACATGCAACTAGTTAGAGCTTAGAGTTGTCTATTTTGGAGGTGTTTATTGGTAGTGTAGGTGAGACGGAGAGAGATAGCTTCCGTGTTTATTATTTGCGTTTTGCAATGTTTACTTAAAACAATAAGAGACAATCTCGTAGGGTGAATATCAACAAATAAATTTTATTGAAAATTTTGGAAATTTTTTTTTTAGATTTTCCAGTATCCGAGACTCGTTTGCAATAAAATAAAACATTTCATTTATATATACGTGACTGGGACATAACCATTTCCATTAATTTCAGAGAAATAAGCAATTATAAATTTTCCTCGCCACCAATACTTAGAAACGCCACCGAAACGCTTATAGGTTGCACCAGAATTGAATATTGCCACCATAGTTGGAATATATATAAAAACAAAGACAATTAAGTAAATTTAATTGTTTCTTTAAATTTAATTGTGATAAAAATTTGTTTGCCCCTTTAAAACGACGCACAGTTGGAACTTTCTTCAGCTTTTTCTTTTTAATACCATGTGACAGGACGAACGAGTCATACGCCTGATGGTAAGCTGTCTCGCCTGTCCATAACAGTGGCAGTGCCACTCAGAGCTTTAGATAAGCAAAGATCTGAGGAGCACTGCCACTGCGCCAGTCACCCTGAGACGTAAGTTGACAAGTCCCATGTGCCTGTAACTTCACCAGCACCCTTACCCTTCCAAACCTAACTATGCTAACATTATTGCTTGGCGGCAGAAATAGGTAAGGTGGCAGTACTTCCCTGGATTTTTGTTTCAATCTAATTTTTCGTGTTTGACGTTCTCAACAAAATCATTTAATCAATGATATCCCCGTTAATTTAAGTAAAATACAAATTTAAAAAATCGCTAAGGTACAAATAGATCAAAAAGTAATTAAGTAATTTTACGTTATCTGAAAAATTATGAATAACACTATCTTTCTTAAGGTTATTGGGACAAATAAACACAATACTTTAAAACATTTTTCGAAAGTGAACGTTATATTCAAAAATATCATATCAATTTATTTGGTGGCGTTTTTAAGCTAAGGTTAAGTTTAACACAAACGCCACCAAAACCACCAAATTTGAGCCACGTAAGATGACATTTCAAAAAATAAATTACGGGAATAAAAGTAAAAGCTTAAAAATCAAACCGACACGATTAAATTGTAATAAAATAATGACAAAATTAGACTCTTAATTTGGTTTCAGAATACGTCCTTAGGATAAAACAAAAATTGAGCCCAAATGGAGCCAGGAAAACTGAATATTTTTGTCCCACGTACCACGGCATATAATTGCTTTTTTGGCGGGAAATGGAACACAGTGCCCATGTTTTTCGCTGCCAGGTCCTAATACACGACTGAGGCTTTCGCGGGGCAAGAACGTAATGGTTTTTAGTTTAACTACTTACCAGTTGCAACCAGTTGAATATTTGCCACCAAAACTACAATTTTCGCGTGGACAACGTTTGATCAAGTACCCAGTCTCCCACATACTGGTAATTGCAATACCTTTAATGATTTTAGTTAGTGCTTCTAATAGTGAATAACATACATGGAATTTTTTTTCTTAAAAGCGTAAACATTTTACCAGAACGACTATTTTATACAATGAAACAGAAAATAGACACACCAGCAAAATTGAAAATCGGGACATTAATATTTTTTATTAATTATTATTGTACATTGAATATTCACAATCACAATCATTAATATTTCTTCACTTTACACCTGGTTTCTCAGCCTGGACTCGCAAAATTGACGCATGAGATATTCACCCTTGAACTATGTATGACCTTTGAGTTTTTGATTCTCGAATTACTCGACGTGACGAATCAGAGATGCTTTTTTACGAGTGTTTCTTACGAAAACCCGTACCTAATTCGTCCCCTAATGGACTTACCAAATACGGTTTTTAATCGCTTAAACTTATGTGGTAGCTGGAAAGGCATATCTAATTCGTCACTTCGAGGGGGCATACTGTGTACAGTATTCCTGTAGTTTAGACCCTTAGAAAAGCGTACCGAACTCGTCTCTCCTTGGGGGGCGTACTGTATACGGGAAGCCATATACGCAGCCAGGACCTTACAATGAAATGTAACGTTTCTGTTCAAATAAAGAATTATTATTATCATCATCACAGAAAATACACAATATCCCAAATTCAAAAATATAATACGCACAACCTATTGTATTATCTGTGGTGTAAGTATTAAATTACGTCTTCTTAAAGTATAATCATAAACAATGGTAAGTATGTAAAAAATTATGTAATTTACATAAATTTTACGAATCTACATTTTCAATATCGAGAGGAGTTTCCGGTCTCTCACTGTCGTCATTAGTATCTTCAAAACTATTTTGTTTACTAATCCTTAATGGTGAAGTTATATCATGTGGATAAACCACGGAGTTTATGAAACCACTGGGTATACCTAATAAATCTAAAGATACATGTGATCCACTAGCGTTGTTAGCTAAAACGGCACTTTGAGAGGTCGGAGGTAGAGTGACAGCTTGAGGTGGTGTGATCGTTGCACTTTTCTCCCTTCTCTCTCTGGCTCGACGATTTTGAAACCAAATTTTAATCTGCAATGTTTTATTCTAATTTATTTTAATTTTAATTAATTTGAGATAACGGGTGACGGGATCTGATGAGATTGGTACACTGTTGATCAATGTAGGCACGTAAGAAGTAGCAAACAAAAAAATTATAATTTGTAAAAAAAATGATTAGATTTCCAGTAGAGTACCCAATGAAATTATAAATAGAAATGTGAAATTAACTACGGACAAGTGTATTTAAAATATTACCGTTGTATGTTTGGGACATCTTCATTAAACCTCAACAGATTTTGGTACCTGGTCTTTTATAGAATTTTTAAATAAATAAACACGATGAAAATCGACTATCGAATTAGGTACCTACTTATTTTCTTCTACATCATAGGATTTTAAAAAGGATAGAGATTTGTTCATTGGCAATGTCTTTACCTACCAATCTTTTAAAAGATAGATTCCTTCTTACCCTATCGTCTCGAAGCTGTAATGCCGCAGCCAATGCACGCAATGCTGGAGGCGCTAGGTATGGCGCTCGCGCATAAGCAGCTTCGAGCGCAATTGCCTGTGCCGCCGTAAATGGCACTCGCGCGTGCCGACCAGAACGGCGAGACCGGTATACGCTTGTAGGACCTATTGTAGAAAAACAACCCTTACTGTACAAGGCAGATGGAATATAGCAATAGGTAAAAAACACCATCAGAGAACATATGGATGTTGTCTGTGTTAGTGGGGTTCAAATTATACTTTGAGACTAAGAAAATTATGTAATTCACCAGAGCACGGAATTTTAAAAGATGATGACAGTGCTTGCAAAAATTGCGATACTTCTAAGTGAATACTTGCCAATATTGTTACTTAAACCCTTATCAATTAGTCCAAAGAGAAAAGACTAACTTTAGTGAGATTCAAATTAGTACTTCACCGTATTTTATTGTCCTCTCAAGGTACCAAATTACTATTGAAGTGAAGGTATTCATGTACGTAAAAAAATTGATTGTGGTTTACACCACTCTTGCGCTGATAGCCTCAACTTTGGATAGTGAGTAAAGATGCTGGACAAAGGCAAGGCTGTCGTAGAAGGAAGAAGATACTAAGTAACATCGTAGTACTTTTAAACATGTAGGTATAGTTGATTGTGGGGCTGCATTTTAACCATTCTTATGTGAAGAGGCAGAAAATCTTTTAAACAATCATTCACTTTAAGATGTAGGGACATGGTAACACTAACACGACAAGAATTTAGTCCATCTACAATCCATTGAAAAGTAAACACAGATTCCTACGATACAGCTAACACTTTTAGGTATACTTGAATAGACGTAGTTTATGTGTCTACCTATCGTAACTCGTAATATCACTTCACTTTTTATTTTTATGGCTCCATCAATATGAGAACTGATGATTTTGCCAATGTCACAGTTGAAAGAAAAAAAACGAAACAAAAAAAAAAATTTCGCTAAGCTCTAATAGGACATTAACCGGTGTTGGTAAGTTGGACTACGGGAGTACTCAGTTGAGAATGTAAAACAAAACAGCAAAACAATATTTATAAATATATGTTATTTAAGTGGATAAATTTACATAGAGTAACAATATGGGGGGAGAACACTAAAGTTAAGAGGTTGTTTATATCTGACTACTAGAATTTAGTTTTGTCATTTTGACTTTAGTCATAAAGAATAGTTTCTTTTTTATGATACCAAGTGACGGTATGAACAAGTCGTAGCCTGGTGGTAAGCGACACGCCTGTCCATAATAGGTGCAGTGCCACTCAGAGCTTTATATCGCAAACATCTGAGGAGGCACCCTGAGACATAAGTTGACAAGTCCCTATGCCAGTAATTTCACCTGCACCCTTACCCTTCAAAACCGGAACACAGTTATGCTCACATTACTACTTGGCGGTAGAAATTTAAAAGGAGCCCCTACAGCTACTAAAATTAGTAGGTAATTCGGTATAAATGTTCAACTTTTTAAGCACAAATAAATTGTATTAATGGATAAAACTAACGTGGAATTCGTGGTGGCTGATATCGCGTACAACACAACCAACTCGGACTTTCCGCAGCCTCCTCACGACTTCTGGGATCGTCACTTAAAATTCTCTCAATGCTGAAATCCGAACTGCACTTCGATCCTGACTGTAAGGGCGAGACGTCCATTTTTGCACTGACCAATGTACTAAACTGTTGAATGATTTGGCTACTAAAAACTTTGGGGGACTGTGAAAGGAGGACTCTGAATAGACCACGCCCTTATCGCCTTTTTGTAGGGATGAACGCACCCTTCAAAAGCTAATAGATGTTATCAGTGACCGCAACAAACAGGGAGCATGCACCAATGATCTCACGAGTGTTGTGACATGGGCCCATTCATAGATCTATTTTCGCAAATTAAATGAGAAATGGATACTGTTTGCACACAAAAGCATGTTATTACTTTAAGGGTATGTGGGAAAATTAATTTGTAAATTGTAGCAACTGTTGTATGAAATATGATACGGTATTCAGATGCGAATTAAATTTTAATATGTATTGTTAATCCCACGTTAATCCATATTTTTCTTTGTATAGTATAAATATATGTAAAGTTTATTAATAATGAGATAATTGAGTGCCGTTTCAAATTTTACTAGCTATGTAAAAAGTCGTCATTTAGTCGGTTCTTGTCCAAAAAGGACTACATTTAGTTTTTAAAGTCATAAGGATGTTATACTGTCCACGCTAGAATAAGCTTGTTCCAGCAACATCTTTTCTCAATCACGAGAACAACAGCACTAAAAAGTCGTGATTTAGTTAGTCAGTTCTAGTCGTAAAAACCAGATTTGCTGTTCACATGAGAATCTTAATCCAGCGGCACTATTTTTCAGTTTCGAAAATCACAACTCGTAGCTCGCGTCTTTCAGTCAGTAAAGTCGTGAATTAATTTGTATATACATATACTATACCTACAGTTTTGTTGGAATATAGCCTCAAAAGCAATGAAACAAAATCCGTCAATGTTTAGCTTGCTATATAAGCGGCCGTCCGTACCTACATATTTTGCATTGTCCAGCTGGCATAAGGCCCGCGAGATAATTTGGTGACTTTTCTACTTACACGTAAATGTTTAAAAATAAATGATTAAACATTATTTGTGCGTATGTTTGACATTTAAACTTGGTTAAAATTTGTTTGTCAATCCTTTGTAATTTAACCCAGATACGCTTTCTCGTACAGGTACTTGTACTCGTACCTATGTATATATGGAAAGTAGCTTAAACCCCTATAATGAATAAGAGAAATTCATTAGCGCGGTGAGTACCATAATATAAAAAAATATAAAAAAAATTAAGAAGATAGTAGTCGGTGGTTTGGCTTTTACCAGACGACCGACCTTCACGCTTTGCTAAACAAAAGACATCAACTACACCAGGGCGCTATACAAAAGGACGAAATAAAATTACAGAATATATTTTTACATCATATTTTGTTTATTTTTTTCAGCGTTCATCGCTTAATTTTAATAAGATCATTGATAAAAAGTTATTAATTCGAATTTTTATTAAGAAGACGACGAAGACGAATTTCTATTTCTGACAGTTTGGAAGGTTTTTTTATAGAAATAGTACCTAAATCTTGGAGGATGGAAGAAAAATAGTCCAAGACCTAAATATAAAAATAAAAATTTTAAAATCCAATATCAAGATACAGTGCCCCCTAACCGCCTAATACGCATGCGCGTACCCTTGGTCCGGTACGCAACTATCATGTGCCAGTTACACTGCCACAGCACTAATGCCTACGATATCTTCAACTTCAACTTCTTCAACAAAAAAATGCCTTCGCATAATACCAAACTTGCGTCAGAGAGTTTTCTGCAGACCACATTTTACAAAACTAAACCTCCTTACTCTACCATCAATATACATCCTTGAAACTGCAATGTTTGTTAGAAAACACATCCACATCATTTTTGAACCAGTTAAAGGTGTTCGCCAAATACAAATTATCCCTCCCTATATCATCTAGAGATGTATAGAAATAGCCCTTATTACTTGATTATACTCATATATAAAATACCAGATATATGATATAAAATATACATATATATATATATTATATATATATATAATACTCATATATATAATAAAATACCAGACACATTGAATATAGAGGACAAATATACAAGTTTTAAAAATAGGAGTGTTACTCGTATTTAAATGTTACTACTCAATAGAAGAGTTCTTGTCAGATAAATGTTCTCTCTCTCTCTCTCTCACGAACTACATACTTCTAATATGCGTACATATTTAGTAATTTTTAAGTGAAAATGCTTATTTCAATTTTTATTAGAGAGTGTATTTATACACTAACTACTACTATATCGCTATAGAGTGTTAATACAATTAATAATTAGATTGCAATGCCCTAACAGGGTCCATGTTTGTATGAGATAGATACCATTCTCAGTACTCATGATGCAATAAATAAATAAAAACAGAAGATAAGTAGAACTTTCTAGACATGTGTGTAATGTAATTAATGGTAAATACCATTATTATCAAACCTATCCAAGTATAATTACTTGGATAGGTTTGATAATAATGGTAACTTAACTAACCTAAACTAACTACGAATAAGTTGTAAATGTGAACTCTATGTAAATAACACAGCGTTCACATCTACACTTTTTTTAATTGACAATCTGTATAGCTAACCTGAGGCTGAGTGTAGTCTTGGGGAATCGAAAGACTAACCGCTCTGCAATTCAAGTGTCATTAACCTATTCTCACCGTAATCCGACGAGTGAAGTGTCTCATTATTTTATTGTCAAACACAATACAGAAGGAACATAAAAGAAACTTAAGTAGGGCAACAAAACCGACAAACACAAATTACAACAATTGCGCTGCAAAATTTATCGCAGAGATAACTATCACTACGCAGATGTTCCATAAATAATGAATGTTCAATTATTATGATCGATGAATAGGAAAGCAGTGGTATAATGGCACTGTAGTTTCTCAGTTGAGAAGGCCATGGTTCCAATACCTATGGCTGTACGTACCTACAATTATAATTTATAAGTTGCGTACATATTTGTTTATTTATTCATAGTAGGCACTTTTGGCATCGACATAGTACAGTCGTACTGAACCTTTACTAGAAATAAATAATTGAAATAAAACAAAAATACATTTTTTAGATTTTGTGGTAAAGCAGAAACATCTGAAAGTTTAAAAAGTGTAACAGTTTAACATTCATTTAATCAAATTTTAATAGGTAATAAACCTTTTCAAGTAAAGTATACCTATAGATTTACAAAAATCAACTTCGAACCACTCGACAAACTTGTCTAAAATTAAAAGAAATGGATGAAAAAAAGACAGTCGACAAACTTTTTGTTGTATGATTAGACCTAAAATAAAAAAGTAAAATAACCGATCAGACTTTTGAAAAAAAAAACCGGCTTCAAAACTTATTCACCCCCTAGTTTACCACCCTTATAGGTGGAATATTTTCTTCAAATTTAAATAGGACCACTTCTGAGGTATCATCTTTCCAACAAAAAAAAATCATCAAACATTGGTTCACAAATGCCGTTACATATATCGAGATAACGAGAAAATTAACGAGTTATCGCGTAACATACATACAAAAAAAAGCAGTCGAATGGAAAACCTCCTCCTTTTTTGAAGTCGGTTAAAAACACTGCATTATTTTTGTGATTTTACTAGTGTTTCGCTAAATTGCCGGTTTGTGTATTTTAAGGAATAGAAAGAAAATAACAAAGGTTAACACGGCGAATATTATTATTTAGAAGATCGAAGATCTGTGAAAAAAAATACTCTTGCAAGTCGTAACTAAAGTAGTCGAAACTCACTTTCTACTGTGACACGTTCTTTTTGTTTGAGTAATTTAATTAGTTACTATAGGTTAAAGTGAAAACCAATGTGAAAAGCAATAAATTTAATACCACTTTCTACCGTGAGATTAACATTTTTGTGTTCTAATAAGAACGTTGGCAACAAAAAATTACAATACGCAATTATTTCTCGCAATGTCGCATGCAAACGGGTACGGGTTTTGCGGTCATTGCACAGAGAAGTCAAACGCGAAACCTTGGGACGCTCTCCTAACTCACAATGGTGACTACTTTACACCAGTGCGTTCGGGTTCGCCGTGCGCTGTACACCTCATCACTGTGTTTAAAATTAATTATAAGCTCAAGAATACATTGTAAACAAAGTGTTTGAATCACTGTCAACATGCCTATCCCAGAATATTTTGAACTGGATAATGGTGATAGAATGCCGTGCGTCGGTTTTGGAACCTGGCAGGTGCGTTACCGGTATTTTTAGTCTGTTTTAAATACGTAAGGTGTACTTAATATAGAATCTCATCATCAATCAGTTTTCTTTTTTCCAAAATATTATGAAATTAACAGTTTGTGTAGGTAGATACTTTCGTTTGCACCTACACTTCCTTACAATTATGCCATCCTTCCTTAAAAAACGCTAGTGCTCAAGTAAACTGTCAGGCCCGCATAACCAGTTTGAAAGCGAAAGCAGTCAGGAGAAACTGCGACCAAGGGAATATTTTGAATGTGCCGAACACTAACTTTGTTTTATATATCGTACACTGAAATTAAGTCCACTGTTGCGATATGACCCTTACACTGTACGAAAATAAGTTATTTTTTTAATATCAAGTAACGGGACGAACAAGTCGTGCGCCTGATGGTAGGCTACACGCCTGTCCATAACAGTTGCAGTGCCACTCAGCTCTTTAAATAGCAAAGATCTGAGGCGCACTGCCACTGCGCCCGTCACCCTGAGACATAAGTTGACTATGCCTGTTATTTCACCAGCACCTGTACCCTTCAAATCCGGAACACAGTAATGCTAATATTACTGCTTAGCGGCAGAAATAGATAAGGTGTCAGTACTTCCCTGGACGAACTCTTTCACAAGGAGCTCTAGCTCTACTGCTACTAAAATTAAGCTACGAAAATAAGTTTAAAGAAAACGCGAGTTTTTCGTTTAGTAATGGAATAGACTAACGTGCAATGGTCTAGTTCAGCAACCATTATTGAACACAAACGTCGAAATAAAATCCTTGTATAATGTCTGCAAAATGTTAATATTTACATTACTTATTGGGGACAGAAGCAAATGTTGTTATATAAAATAAAATACTTTAGTTGTAATACATTACAATTAACTATACTTGTCAACTTTGGTCTGTAGAATCACAAGAGGACTTTTGTAGCGCTCCAACAAATATTTTATTTTCGTTTTTTTTTATTTCTATGGCCATACTTAGTACAACACAAGAAATATTCTTTTATCACTTTCCACCGTGACCTGTGGAATTTTGTAGTAGAGTCAGCTAAGGTGCAAGGCTTCTCGCAGAAGTCATAATAGACCTTAGAGCCGCATTGGCTGCAATAAGAGTAGTCTTCACTATGGTCTTCGGCGGTAGAATCTGACACTTTCTTGGAAGTAGTGGCGCGACACAAATTAGTTTCGCTAGACCACTTATCCTTATACTTATGTCCAGTTATTGTTCCTGTTGCTTCTGTAGGCAACTGCTCCTTGATAGCTTCTATACTATCGGCACCATTAGGCCACTGGTCTACAGTGGTGCACTTGCTCTGCTTACGTAAGTCTTTATATTTCTCTGAAGATTTGACCGAGGGATCGGCTTCAGCGTCACATGACTGTGGCTCAGACAACGACTTCAGTACATAAACATCGTTGGGCTCAGAGTTCATTTTACATAATGACCGTATAGGAAAATTACGTTTGTAACAATTGAACTGTATGAATTGAAAGACTGAAGCCCATGCCGTAAATGCGTATGTTTCTCTTCTCAGTGAAATCTACCATCGAAATTCACCCGTCAATTTCTGAGTATTATTGCAACCATAGATTTAGTATATAGGTACCAAAGAGAATTTAAGCACTACGTTTAATAGGTACCAACGCAACGATATATAAAATTGGAGTCAAAACAAACGCGTATCTTCCATAAACTGCCCATTCACTACGTGCATGACATTCCGCCGCGCGGGCTGGAAACTGTGCACACACACTCCATCTTGTGTATGGCCCACGTATGGAGTCTCGCAGGACATATTGCAGGATGGCTTGCACGCTGCGACTACATTCATAGTCCTCCATTGCGCGGCAGACGGCAAGGCGGACTGCAATGCAGGATAATGAATGCCCCCTTTTAACTTGATGTGGGCGGAATTGTCGACTACATCGATGGAACTATCAATCGTTAAAAAGAAGAAATATATATTTATATTCTTCTGTTAAGTAGAACTAGCTTGCTAATTTTGATTCATTATAATTCAGAATTTTTTTCCATCCTCTAATATTCAGAATGAGCCTGAATAAGCCCAACAACAGCCCTGACACCATCGAGTATATGACCGAAATATACTCGATGCCTTTTTTTTTTTTGACGGGAGGAAATCTTTATGGATACCCCTGAGCCCAGGGCGACTCAGGAGTTATGTGGGGACTGTCCCCCACAGACTGGAGGACCTACCCCACTAAAACCCCCCGGGTTTCCCTCTCGCCGGTTGAGTCGGCGCCGTGGGATCAGTGAACATTCACCACGACAAATATACTCGATGCCTGACACATAGCAGGGCTAGCACGACTAGGCGTGACTTGCGTGTGAAACGACAGAGAAGCGCGAGATATTGTATGCCGCTGTAAAGATAGGAGTCTTTTCTTTCCCATAAAATAAAAATAGCACGAGTTGTCGTGTCGAAGAAAACAGTGTATTTTGTTCTGTACATCGTTTTGACACATAACACACAAAACTTAAATCAAATTCACTTTAAAAAAAGACGAAAATGTATATTGTGTCACGAATATCTCGCATTTAGGTAAACGTCAATGTGAGAGATATCTGTCTTTGTCGCTTTGGGTGCACGACAGAGAAATATAAGTTAATATTTGTCTTCTTATCAATATATTTTTTTTATAATTCCATTAAATGTTAAAATTCAATTCTTATCAATATATTACTACTATTTCTACTTCACATATTATACTCTAATTACTCTTTTCTACTACTCTTACTCCATTTTTCATATTATGTGATATTTTTTACTATTTTTTTCCGTGATTATAATTTATGTAAAATGTAATGTTTATTTTTGTAATTTATTTTAAGTATTTTCTTTATTTTTATAATTAGTGCAAGTACAATGTGTACACCTAATAAATTCTTATTTAACAACATTTGTTGCGCCATTAATTAATTATTACGTTTAGTTCATCATGTAACCCGGAAGATGCCTGGAAGAGATTGTTATCTTCCAATTAGTCTGCCTTTTGCACAGCTCTTTTGGGTTTTTTTATGTATTTCATCTTGTATGCAATAAAAATATTTGTGTTCTATTTTATAAAAATAAGTATAAGCAAAATAGAATAGAATAAAATAAAATGACAGTTATAATATTCAGTTGCTTTGTAAGACATGTACTTAACTGAGGATGTTTATAGGAAATACTTAAATATAATTTCACAAGTGGTTAAATAATAGTATACTTTGATAATCCATTTATTTTCATAAAAGAATACGAACAATTAAAGATTTTGAGATAAATAATATATCAAGTCCTGACTCGAGTATTGAGTAGAGTTCTGGAATACGACACCATAACTCGTATGTTAAAGCACAAAGTAATTGAAATGCTAAAAATGGATTGCATGTAGGTATAAATTTTGCATCCTGATTTCACATCACATTTCCTTCGTATTCACATACTGGCGTTTACCTATTCTTAAAGTAATGCATTAAATTAACATCCTTGATATAAGAAATTTAAAATAAATACAAAGTTTTGTCATCTTATAAATAATCACTCTTTTTATGATACGGGTTTGAGAAAGTAACGCATCGAAATGCTATATGTGTCAAAATTGAGGACATTCAGAAGACACCTAAACACAACGTGGTACCTAGGTGTCATCGTCATCAAAGCATTTATATGTTCCCCTGCTAGGCACGGCTCTCCTCTCAGGCTAAGGTTTAGGCCTTAGGCCATAGACTGCCACAATGGCCCAATGAGGGTTGCGAGACTTCACACGTATTCCCAGGCCTGTAAGCTTTCCTCGAGGTGCAGATTTTATCACTATGTTTCCTTCACCGGAAAGTTCATGGCAAATTTCGCAAATAAATTCCGAGAAACTAAGAGGAGCGAACCCGGATTCGAAACCGCGGCCTCTGCTAGAGATATGGTAGATCAAACCATTAGGGTACCACGGCTTAAACCCTAAGTATACCACTTAGGTATCTCAATGATACGTATGTACCTACTAATTAGGTTGAAGTCTTTGTTAAGTATACTATTTTTAACCGACTTCCAAAAAAAGGAGGAGGTTCTCTATACGCCTGCACTTTTTTGTAAGTCGTAAGTAATATACGCGATTACTCCGACATTTGTGAACCGATTTTGATGATTCTTTTTCGTTGGAAAGAGGGTACCTCAGTATTGGTCCCATTTCAATTTAAGGAAAATGGAATATTTTCTAATAGTTACATTTCTAATTTCTAAGGGTTACAAACTAGGGGATGAATCCGGTTTCGCGCACTGTCCGGTAACCGATTTCAATAAAACTTGGCAAATAGATGTAATTCCACGAATTTTTGAGGTCGGTTTTCTTTATAAAAAAGTTACAATTTTTTTTTATTTATTTATTTTATTTATTACCAATCAATTAAACGTCATTTAAACTCGTATTTTCGGATTACGTAGTTTAAATTACTTAAGGAATTTTTCTTGGAAAATGGTGGTGTTGGTTTGTAACTTCCATTACCCATCCACAGCTTCTAGACGTGCATCTTGTTCCATGACACAAAAAAGAGAAGAGTCGTTCAAACCATTCATATTTCCCTTTCATTCTTCTAAAATATTGCAAAACTATATCATAGTTCTTGAGCATAAACTCAAAGTTAAAATCAGTCTACCAAAACCTTGGTCTACAATGAAATAAAAAACAAGGAAGCGTTTAGTCAAGCAAAAACTCGACACACTCAGCGCCGATTGTTCAAGCTAGATTTAATGGGAATTAGCATTTAAAGTTATATTAAATAGACTTTTCTGCTTTTAGAGTGAAAGAAATAACCCATGTACAGAAAAAATAAAAACATATTCGTATATCTCTTCCATGTACATTTTAACACTTATAGGAGAGTAGATAGAGCATATAAAGAAAGGTCTTGTTCGTAGGCAACAGACGAGGTACTGGAAAGAGCAGTAGACGCAGCCTTAGCAGCAGGCTATCGTCTATTCGACACGGCCAGGGCATACGAAAATGAAGCAGCCCTAGGACGTTCTCTTAGGAAATGGACTGGGGAAAATCCTGATAAGAGAAAGGAGCTCTTCGTTATCACCAAACTACCTCCAGGGGGTAATTTTTTTCAATCATGTCTTTATGATGTTTTTATCACCATTTTACATTGACTGCATGCCTTAACCGGATTGACGAAGTATTTATATGGTTGAGGGATAAAAGTGCGAAGTATGTCAGGAACATAGCAAGTGGAAACCCGCACTCTCTGTCTACCGCCATTAGGACGCACGATTTTTCACGAACAAATTTTCTTCTAACGAGTTGTGGGCATAAAAGGCGTACTATTATTGTCCTCTGTATGTCTGGCGCAACAATCGGTGAGTACGTTACGCTTATTGGCAAATCCTTTCATCACGGTGGCAAACATGTCCCACTCTTCAGTATGGCGGATACTACTAGTGACGCGGGTAGCGGCAATTACTTACGTCGCCATCGATGGCGACCATGAGGACCATGAGGAGAAAAAAGGCCGTTGTAGTGTTGACGGATAGAAAAGTCGGTTTGTACTTGTACCTAATATACTTATATGAAATACTTGTAAGGCGATTAACACACTGCACCGTGCCCCGCGGTGGTGCGAGAGACGTGGAATCACGCGCGCAGTGGCGAAGACTAGGGTCGTATTCCAGAACTCTACTCAATGCTCAAGTCAGGATCTGAGTATGATTTCAGGCACTGGAAATACGGCCCTAATGGCAGGGACTTGAGTACAATTTCGAGTGCTTCAAACCATACTCAAATCCTGACTTGAGCATTAAGTAGAATACGACCCGCAGATCTGCGTCAACGCGCGGTATAATCTGCTCGGGGGCAGCGGTCTAAAGTACTCGCTTCGTAGTTGATCGCCGTAGTGATTGTATGTACATGTAGCTGAGATCCTTCTTTGACAAGAATGTTTTTTTTTTTTTTTCATTTACTAATATTACAATAATTTATTATCTAAGTACTAGGCACTCTTAAACCTAAAGGGTTTGTTTGAGTGTTGCTCTATTCGTAATATTTATACACACATAATCTTAAACATAAAGACAACATTTTGTTTATACAAAGACTTCTATAATACAAATAAACGTACACACCATTGACATGGTACGTACAGACAAAGCGCGTCACACATAATGACGAAAGAAAAACAATATCGTGACATTTAACAATCTTAATAAATTAAATAAAAATAAGTAAATAATATAATATTTTCATAATCATTTAAATTTAAACAGAAGTAAAAACTAAAAAATGCGGTAGTTTTATAAAATATCATGTTCTTTACAAGCCATCACAGTCCGGTCGCTCGGCGAGACTAGTTTGGTTGCAATATGTTTGGTTACATAATTATATTCAGTTTTCAAATATTAATCATACCGAACTCAATCAGGACGCTGCAGTTATACTGTCTATTTGGTTTTTGTTTACTCAAATAAAAGGACATAACATTCAAATTCATTACAAAGATTAAGAAAATATGAAGATTAATTTTTCAACTACACATTTTTGTGAACTGAATCTTTTGATTATTTGTTAGGGAAAATCCGAACGACAATTACTAGAATAGACAAAGACAAATTGATTAAAAATCTGCGCGGTAGTACGGAGCGCAGTGTGCCATACATACCCTGCGGTTCGCCGCGCACCTCGACGCAGGGGCGTGAGAAGCGTTGTCAGTGTGTTCGACGGCGTTCCATACAAACTGAGGTACATCAATACAACGTTAAAAAATGCAGTGCAGTGTATTAATCGCCGTTGGGCCAGCGTATTTTAGAGAAAGGGGTCCGCTAAGTATACGGATTATTATAGAGACAAACTGACGTGAAACTGCAAAGTCTATGCGTAACCACCCGAAATGTGATTGTTGATGACAACATTTTTATACTCGTATTTTAGAATTACAGGTAATAATGTACTCAATAATTTACATTCACACCTATAACTGCCTCCGTGGCCGAACGGTTACCATGCCGGACCGCCACGCAGAGGTCCCAGGTTCGATTCCCGGGCCGAGAGAAATAGTTGTATGGCCTACAATTATTTCTCTCGTGAGTTTGGGTGTAATTTGTGGTTGTCTATGCGTGTGTCCATGGTACCCGCGACACAGGGTTTCCCTAGTGCGGGGCTATGTTGAGTGTGTGCGTTATTTATTTATTATTATTATTATTATATAACCAACAGGAAATCGTCCAGAATTGGTGCAAGAGTACTTCGACGCATCGTTACGGGACCTAGGTCTTGATTACGTGGACATGTACTTGATACACACACCGTTCGCATTCGAACACGTACCTGGTGACTTGCACCCAAAGAACCCTGATGGCAGTATGAAAATCGACCACACTACCGATTTGCTTGGAGTATGGAAAGTATGTGTATTTTTTTCTTTACATGCTCTAATGATGTACCTACGTTTTGTATATGATGGTCTATTATAATTAATTTAAGGCAGGTACTTGTAAAGTCTAGCATTCGGAAGAAAGTAAAAAGTCTATCTATTCTATTGTCAATTAGGTCACATTTGCCTATGGCATCACTACTAACAATATTAAATCTCGCAAGATGAGAAGGAGCACTACACATGACAGAACCTCATAGGCACAACATATAAGGGCACGTTCCCATTATGTCGTAACGTTTTATTTATCGTTGAACGACGGTCGCGTCTAGCCTGTTCTCATATCACGACTATCTGACGTGACTGTCTCGTGGAGAATTATTTTATCGTTCAACGACTGTCGTGTCTAGCTGTTCTGACTGATCGTGACGATAATTTTGCCGTTCACAGCACCGCCTCGTCGTTGGCACGACACAATCGTTTGAACTTGCAATTATCTGTCGTCACAATATTTTCATCGTGAAGTTTTATTTATCGTCAGACGATTATCGTTCTAGCTCTTCCCATTGTCATGACAGTCTGTTGTCGTAACGACAAAAAATAGTGAACGACAGTTAATTGTGTTGTTCTATGTGTGAATAACTTCATTTGAATATACAAGCCACTGTACGACTATTTCTGTCGTCACGACATAATGGTAACGCACCCTAAAAATGCAGGCCGCGACGTTGCACAGCTATAACTAACTCCAAAAAACTAAAATTTTAAACAATATCGTAAATAAAATTTTAGTTTAAATTTTTATTGTAATTCAAATATTATTGAATTTACTATCAGATATCGTTCAAAAAAATAAGTATTTTCTTAAACAAATATCATTTGTAATTTAATAATCAATAGTTCTAATTACTTACATATGCTTACAAGATTAACTATGGTGACACTCAAACGTCTAGAGTATATAAGACGCGAGGCGCTATTAGCGTTATTTCTCAAATAAAACTTTCTGCCACTTTTAGAGGGGCGGGGAGGTAATAGGTACGACAAACAAACAGGTGCACTCAAATGCAATATTGAGTTGTGTCACTCTATGGTCACAAAGAAAAGTCGACAAACAACACTAGCTTATTTTTACAAATACACAGATAAAACACACATTCATATCATGTCCGTACACAGAAAAGGCCTGTAAAAAATCGACTCTCACGAAATTGCTAAAGACGGAAAGCTATCTACGTGACGGTATCGATATGTAATTACGTAATGCTTAATCACGTATAAGACATGTAATTTCACCCTTGGCTAGACTGGATGTAGCGGATTTTTTGCAAGTTTGTAAGGCGCAAGACAACATATTTGCATTAGGCATTGTATAGAAGTCTAGACCAAGTGTATATAGAGTTTATTTTATACACTGCCTGACTGTTTTAGGCTTTGTATAGAATATCGCATGACATACATTGCCGATAACATAGGCGACGACACGCGCGTGATTTGATAACGTAAAATTGTTGTTTAAAAAGTGTTGGTTTATCGCAAAAATTACGCTTTGTTGAGGAACCCTTGGATCTACCAAACCCTGAACTCGTAGACGGGGAACGTTCTCCACCTCATAGTCTTCGAGCTTCATAAAGATTCCAACCACTTTCCATAAAACAGGAATCACTCGTAATACTCCCGATGGCAATACATTGTTACACAATAGAATACGTCACTTCACTGGAAACAGCAACAGACGACTACTAGCCATGAGCCCGCGCCGTCGCGACACGGTGACGCCCAGACACGGTTGGGAAATGTTAACATTTTGAAACAGAAAGAATGGGGATTTTTTTTACTAATGTGTTGCATTACTGAATCTTATGCATAGGAAATAATGAACATTGATTTTTTTGTATCACTCTGTATATACAACACGTCTTTATCAAAAAGTTGGATGTTTCTTAAACGTTGTCGAAATTTTGTAGATGTCGTCGCATATATAATAACTTCTTTTATTTTTTTCCACCCTTTAAGCGTATAACAGTGAAATTATTATA